CCTCATTAACCATATTTGGTTTTGAATCCGAGGGTTGTGCAATGGGGTGGTAGTGCTGGCCACTGGGGTTGTGCTATTAGATGGTAGTGTGGTCGGATGTGGTGGTGTTGACGGCATGGTGGCATTGCTAGTGTGCAATGGTTGGATGCGGCGTGATGGTGTCCACTACCGGTGTGTGGTTGGATGCGATTTTGGCAGGGGTATGTGCTGTGGGTGCGATGAGTTGTGAGCTATGCACTGCCGTGAATTTGATTTTGTGGTGATTATAGAGTAGTTTTGGTTGTGTTTTGGTGGTGATAGTGGTGCTTGCTTTGGCGGTAAGGTTGCGGTGGTAATTGTGGTGCCAATTTTGGGTTGCAGCGATGGTGGTAAGGTTGCGGTGGTGTGGTGCAAGTGACGGTTGTATGGAAGTGATTTGTGACAAAGATTGTGCTGGATCGGGATCGGTGGTGGAGGAGTTTGGTGCATGTAACCAAATATTTGGACTAATTATTAATCTGTGACTTTAAAATTCGATAATCTGTGACTAAAAAAATAATTTGTGACTAATAAATTTGAAAATGTGTGACCTATAGATAAACTATGACCTGTAATTTGAATGATTTGTGACCTACAAAATTTTTTATTTGTGACCACGAAATAATCTGTGACCAATTAATTTGATAATATGTAACCAGCAAATAAATATGTACCTATAATTATAAATTTGTGATCATTAATCGTATAACTGTGACTTTATTACATTTATTTAATAAATATTTTTAATTAATGAAATATATTCCTAAATTTTAAATTTTCAAACTATCTACCTGATTTTTGAATTGGTGTAAATAATACGCCTGGATTATGAATTTTTCCCTTTATAGAATGGCTTATGTTTAGTGGGCTAATAGGTTAGGATTATACGAGTTGTAGGAATTAATAATAGGATTTGTGGGTTGACGAGTAAGTTGTTGATGGATATTTGGATTGGCTGTTGGGTTTTTTTTGTTGAGGATTAGGGTTTTTGAAGGACAACAATAACATGACGCAGCAGCACTGGTAATCTGAATTGAATTTATTTTTATTTTTATTTTTTGAATTTCTCTTTTCCCTTTTTTGAGGGAACAATCTGCAAAATGTTAAAGAAAGCAGAAAATACACTTTCGACACTTTTTTTTGGGAACTAAAAAAACAGTAACTAAACAAGATGAACTAATTGCCCCTTTTTTGAACATTTTTATTTCAATTTTTTTTCCAACTAATAAAATAAAAAAAGGTTAAAAATTGCTGCTTCTCAGATTAATGATTTTTTCCTTATTTGCTGTTCCTCAGTTTTTGTGTATAAAGATGGTTGTATGGCTTGGATTGATGGGGGAAGGCGTGGATGTATATATGGATTCGATGGAAACGGTTGGAGGAATTTTGAATTTGTGAAGATGAAGGTCAACGGAGAACAAATTGCTCTGATACCAAAATAGAGATTCAGCCCAACTGATAGAGGACCAAAAAGAGCCTCTAAAAAAAGCTCAACCTGATTCTAGCCCATATGATATTAAAAACAATTTTTATAGCCTAAATGTTATCTCAAACACTTCCAGCACAAATATTCATTCTAGCACTCATTACTTCTCTTACCTGACAGCGTACCAAGCCCCTCAAACCACTACGAACACTTAGAAATCTTCTTCAATCTCAGTGGTGGGTCCGACAGCGAAAAATGGTCTTCGGATCAAAATCCTTACAGAGGATAAGAATTTTTTAACACCGACAATACTGAAAAGGTTGGTGAGAAGTTGGGATTCATAATTAGTTTAGTGTCTGAAATGGCGCAAAAGACAAAAAAAGGGCAGGTTGCACAAGAAGAGGTCGCGATGCTAATCAATTGCCATACCATCAATTACGGTACTACCCACCATGGTGTTTCGATTGGCTGGGTTCCATTTTTGGAAAACCCAGGATGTGGTGCAACCGATTATGAGATTTTAATGGACAAGACACTACTTGTAATTAATGGGTCTACCAATTTTTTTGGGTTGAAATATCCCTTTTCTGCTCGGGTCATGACGGGCATTGCAAAGGAAATGGTGTGGGTGTATGATGAAGTGAGCAAACCACAACAACTCTCACCTTGAGGACAAGGTGGATTTCGAGGCGGCGGGTAATAATAGATCTCCAATCGGTTTGCAAGGATACAACCAATATGAAGGCCGCCAAGTCATCCAATATTCTAGAATATTCCACTTAGTCAGCAAAGAGGCAAAAGGATAATAGGAATCATGCCTTTTATCCTTTTATTCCAGTTTATATCAATACAATTCCTCTATTTTACAACATACAATTCCAGTAACTTCATAGACACCATCTTGCAGTCATATTACAATTTCAGTGTTCAATCCCACAAATTAGTTTAGCAACCAATTTCAGCAATTATTCCTCTGCATCAGCAGCCAGAATCTGCAGTTTAACAACCATATCAGCCAAGAACCTATCACATTGGAGAGAAAAAGTTAATTTCCGTCATATCCTCTACTTTCATTAAATAGGAAAAATGAGAGTACACATATGGAAAATTAGTATAAGTGTGGAAATACAATAAACCCTAAATATTTCTTGCCTAGTCTCTGTGTTTATTTCGTTAACAGTAAGGATTAAAATTTTCATTTCACATGATGGTGTTTTTTCTTTGCAAAATAAGATATGAACTTGGAAACTAGAGGATCATGCAGAGAGACTGAGGTACCCAGTGGAGAAAATATGTGAGGATTTCTCTTCATAGACCTGTTTACACTTTTTATTTCTTCCCTGGAATCATATGGAGTATGACAAATAGGTTTAAGATATGAAGGGAAAGTCATCTGGGGTTGTTTGGATTGGAATGTTTTATCATTTCAAACTTTTGACAGTTCAGAAATGAAGCCAAAGATACCGGTTACTGTTCATTCATTTAATCTAATTCAGACCATTCTCTTAATCTAATTCAAATTATTTTTCTTGGGGTAAGATAATTTTAAATTTTGGCCGAGTGTGTTTTCTTTAATCTTTGTTGAAGTTCAATTCTAGCCCTCAAGCCAAGATTCTTGCCAATATCGAGAACATGTTGGCCACCTATTTAATTTAGGCCCCATTATTTCAAATTGTAATTTTTCTCTCTTATTTTCAACTACACAATCTTCCATAAAATAATATTACATGCAAATTGAAAATTTTTCCTTCTTTTCAATCACACATTCTCCAAAAAAATGATATTCCAAAAATTATAAATTTGAAATAATGGGGCTCAAATGGGGGCTTAATTGGTCCTATACATTGAACAAAATTGCTAAATTCTTGAACTTTAAGACATTATAAAACGTAAGTGGTTCTCACTTCTCATGGCCTGTTATATATGCAATACCCGATCAGCTAGGCAACCTAGAAATAAAATAAATTAATTTTCCTGGGGGAAAAAGTGGATCATACTAGGTTGACTCAATGGTCCACATGCCAAACACCTGGGAAGAGTAAGACTCATATATTTTGATTCAGTGTAGTTACGTAGCACTACTCTAAATGCATAGTTCACTGTCATCTAAAATAGTACTAAATATTAGTGATGCTACATGCATTACTCATTTTGATTTCGTGGCTTCACGAAATTAAAATGAATATTTAGACTTAAGGGCATGTAAATTGAGAAAGATTCATATGATGAAGCGTTTCCAGTTGAAGAGGTCAGGCTACTGATTTTTTGATACACGATTGATACCACAGGACAAGAAAGGTTTCAAGTTTGGTACATAATATAATTGATTAGTTCGATTTTCAAAAGATGGCACGAAACGCTTTAATATAAGCCAAAAGTACATTTTTTGTTCCAACCTGAGTTTGTACCCAAGCCGTTAACTCATAGGTACTGTGTCAGTTTTGAGAGAGTCTGTACACATCTTATTCTACGAATTTTTGCTTAATTGATACTGAAATTCAACTTAAGTCTCTCGTAGAAGTCTTGAGTTCAAATCCTGGGTAATGTAATAGAAATCTATGAGGAGTAAGATATGTATAGACTCTCCCAAAATGACAGTATTTATGAGTTAACGGTTTAGGTACAAGCTCAAGTCGTTACAGTTATATTTTGAATGTTAGATGTATAATATTTATACCTTGCTGGAAGTATCTTATGCGTAACTTATGTTGTAAAAAGAGTTGGGCTTACAACTCATTTACCGCATATTTTTACGTACTGGTTAAAAAAGTTATTTGATATTTATATTTAATATTCTATGAAGGATTTGTAGTCAAAGGGCATATATATATGATCAATTGCCAATAGTTTGCATGGGTGAATGTAGACATATTATATGTATGTAATGTGTGGAGTGTGCATGTTTATTGTAGTTCACAATTGTAATTGTAAGAATGAAATCGCCCTTGAAATGAGATTGTTACATTTTATTGTGCATTATTATTATTATTATTATTATTATTATTATTATTATTATTTTGTTGTTATTATAGTCATTATTATTATTGTTGTTGTTACTACTACTATTATTCTTCATTTTGGGAGTTGGATTTGGTGGGGGGAGGGGGCGGAGATGTTAAGAGTGATCTCTCTCTTCCCCCTCTTCCTCTTCCTCTCCATCTTCCTCTGTGTTCCTGACAAGCATTATTCAGCCATGCATTATGAGTAAATGTCTCTTCATTCCTTTTCCAAACATCACTGTGTCTCTAGTTATTGAAGCTATGAACATTTGAATTCAGGATGAAAATGATCCGCTTTACAGAGTTGTGTGCAACCACGTGTTTGCGTCTTTTTTTTAAGTAGCAACGCATCATAATAATAAAAAAGAGATGCGAACTATTATTAACTTATTTCTTTCATGGTTTGACAGCTTTGCGCTGCACTGAATATAAATAAGAGAAGTGTTGATCGTGATCTTGATGTCTACCGCAATCTGCTCTCTAAGCTGGTTCAAGCAAAAGAGCTGCTAAAGGAATATGTCGACAGGTGAGAATTTCGCTCTTATTCAATAAGGTGGATTAGATAATATTCAAAGCTATTATAGAAGAAAGAGTAAATATAATAACTCAACACTTCGTGGTGCTATTAGTGCAGTCTACTTTCCTAGAGATGTGGTTATTTTACAACTAAAATCATAACAATTGATGGATACAAGTGACTGTTTTTCACATTCAATCAACTTCTTCATTAACAATAAAATGTTACATCCTCTTTTTGCTTTCGCTAGTCGTGCTTCTCTACATTACGAGATTCATGTGTTCAACAATAAATCTTCAGATTAGTTTTGTGACATTTGTTAATGTTTATGGCCTTCAGGGAGAAAAAGAAAAGAGAAGAACGGACAGAATCTCAGAAAGCTAATGAAGCTGTCACAAAATGCTTGGGGGGATACCAATATGCGGGGGTTATGAAGTAACCTTCATTTGTTACCTTTTGTTTAAATCTCTCTCAATATATATCTAACAGTTAATTTGATCTTTTGCATGATAAGAATGGTTCAGACAGGTTATCAAAATAGAGGCTGTATTAAATGACAAATAATAATTCAGATCCTCGTGATTTAGCCATGTTGAAATCATTTTCATTAACTATTAATTTCTTTAGAATTGTTACAAAATTCATCACGCCCTTAATGTTGCCTAATACAAATTTTTGCAAACAACAAATGAATTAACCTTATGATTTAGCTGAAACGAGATTATTACCAACTAATAAGTGTTGAAGTTTAGTTATTTTAATAACTTCAACCAATAAGAGATTTAACTGGGATGAGAGATGTCGACCTCATCTGGAATCTTGAATATATCTGCTGCACCAAATTTTCCCCATTCTTCCTCTACATACTCGTGTTCATAGTCGCTATCCCTTTCATCTACATCCTGAATGTTGGGAGACGAGGGGTCGTGACCACTTTTGGATCTGCAGACTTGATAGCAAGCATCTTCACCTGGCCGAGGTGAGAAATCTGTACGACAACAGTGTCACCATCCACAGGAAGTGGTTGTTACCATGGTTCCCCATCAATCCTCGTGAAGTTGTGATCAGCGGCACCCTTGTGAAACTCAAAATGTATTCTGTGTCTGAACAGATGAAAAGCCAAAAAAACATCAACAATAGCTCATGTCATTGATTTAATGGAATCTGAGGGTGTGTTTTCTTTGCTGTTTTCGGATCGTTTTCTGTTTTTGATTTTTCAAAACGGTGAAAACGCGTTCTCTTTCCCGTTTTCGAAAACGAAAAAAAAATTGTGAAGAAAACACAAATTGTTTTGGGTTTTTTCAGTACAGAACTCAAAAAAATTGAAAACACGGGAAACACTTTTATTTTTCTTTTCAAAGTCTACCTTCTCTTTCCGATAAGCTCTGCCTTCTCTCTTCTGGACGCTGGCTACGAAGGGAACCAAATGAACCCATGGATCATCACCAATTTCGATCCAATAGGCTAAATCAAGCCAGACAGTTCATGAACCAATTTTGACTGTATTGCTAGTTGTTTTTTTTCTTGCAATTGAAGGTGTTGGTGGTTGTGGACGGTGGTGACAAGTGGTTTTTTTTTTTCTTGCATTCAATTTGTTGGTGGTTGTGGACGGTGGTGGTAGTGGTTGATGGTTCATGGTAGTGGCAGTGGAGTTGATTTTGGTTGATTTTGGCGGTGCTTGATGCTTGATGGTGGTGTCGTGATGATTCTCAAAATTTCAAAGGAAACATGTTTTTTATTTTTTTGTTTTGAGAAATAGTTTTTCGGACTAACAAAAATAACGCATTTTCAATAATTTCAAAACAAACACTTAAAAGACAAAATTCAAAACTATAAAACTGAAATACGAAAAGAACACCCCCTAAGTTTCTCCCAACTTTCTGCTTGATTCTAACCTATGCAAGATGTGTCACATGTCCATTAGGAGCAAGCAGGACCAGTCTATGCCAAGCATTTTTAAAACCAACAATCTCTAGAAGGCCATCATTGAGAGTTAATTGTTCCAATGGTCACTAAATTTAGGTCCATGTCTTTGAGTGGTTACAGAAGTTTAAAATGTCGAACTTAGGTTCATATCTTCAAATGCTTATTGAAATTTACAATATCGAATTTTGGTCATTAAACTTTGAAAAATATTATACATTCCTCATTGAACTTTGAAAAATGTTGTACATTACTCACTGAACTTTGAAAAATGCTGTACATTATTCATTGTAAACTCGATATTTTTCAAAGTTTAACAGTTGTACTAATTAGTAACGTACGACATATTCTAAAGTTTAATGCCCAAAACTTGACATTTTAAATTTCAGTGAGCAATCGAAAGCATGAACCTAAATTCAGTGATCAAAACTCGACATTTTAAATTTCAGTAACCAATCAAACACATGGACCTAAGTTCAATGACCATTGGAATAATTAACTCCATCATCGACAAGAGGTGGCGTCAAGTCTCTCTAGACATCAGTTTGAAGCATAGAATTTGTTAGAATATAATGTATCCAGATTATTTTCTAAGCTTTAATTCTGTTGAACTCAACCAAAAAATAAAAATAAAAAAAATGTGTGTTTAAACAGAGCACAGAAATCACATCTTTTGTTTATATTTGGTGTTCCCCAACTCCGAGGATTTAGTCCACCGGAGAAGCTAGGCTAGTTAAGACGTACAATGGACTTGATACTGCAAAGTTAGAAAAAAAAAAAAAATGAACCGAGCTCCACGTACGGTTCACAGGGGTTGCATAGACCCCTCATTGTAGGGGGGTCAGGTCCCACATCATTTTTTTTTTTTTTTGAAAAGGTGGGGCCAGCTAGGTTAGTTAAGACGCACAATGGGCATGATACCACAACGTTAGAAAAAAAAAAAAAAAGAATCGAGCTCCACGTACAGTTCACAAGGGTTGCACAGACCCCTCACTATAAGGGGGTCAGGCTCCACATCTTTATTTTTTTTTTTTAAAAGGGGGGGCCCCCCCCCCCCTTCTCTCACATCTGGTTGTGTTGTGAGACTTTTCATATTCTAAAAGCATCATAGTAAGAGTGCCTATTTTGCCATTTTGTTTGATATACTCCATTGTGATTATCTGCATATGGGTTATTATTAACATATTAATATTGATTCAATATTGATAGAATGGATTCACTGTTTTAATCTCATCGAGGACTGGAGTGGAGGTTTATTCATCCACACTGCAGCTTGTAGCAATTCACAATTTTCGTGATATAGAATCTTGGGTATATGGGCAAATCAACTTGTAACTACAATAAAAAATATTCAACAGTCGAGAATTTAGAAAATGTGAACCTCACTGGGCTACCAAAGTGGGCTCCACAGAGTAATAAATGAAGAACATTATGTTGTGAAAGGAGATGTTGAGAGTTGTAATACATAATGAATAGGGAACGGAAAATTCCAAGTTTGATAATGTGTCAACGAAACCAAAAGAAAGAAAGAAATATCTGCTGCCACCATCATCATCTGTTATTTTGGCACCAAATATGGCTTCCTTTCTACTTTTGTGTACGGGCATTAGCCTTTTAAAAGTTCATGTTGACTGTATTTTTCATTGTACCTATTACATTACTAATTGTCCCCCATAACATGTCCTAAACTGCTGCAGATATGTCCATGTGAGATAGAAACTATCAAAATGTAAAATGAAGTAAAATGGAGACACGTTTTGAACCATGTCGGTCTTGGACACATGTTCCGACACCAATACTTTGCCTTGTGAGAGTGCCATTGCTTCAGGGCATGGAAACACTTTTATTGCTTCAGCCATGCTTCGGTATAATGGAAATATGACCTCGGAGGTGGCAAAAATGGTTTCTAGCGATGTATGTGCGAGAGAGGAGCATTGGGTGACTCAAATGAAATGGTGGTAGTCGAAGTGGTTTATATAGAAGAGAGAGTCGTGGCGACACAAATGACAGCAGGGTGATTTGTTTGGTGTTTATGGCCTGGGGAGACGGTGGTGATTGATGTAGTTGGTCGGCTGGTACGAGTATGGGCTGGTGATGAGCATGATGGTAGGCGATCGGTGGATTTGGGTTATGAATTTGGATTTGGGTTTAATGGGCCGACTTTGTTGGGTTTTGTGGGCTTTTCAATATGTGGTGGATTATGGTCGGGGTAGTGTCTGGGTTTATAGAAGAGGAAATTATACAAAATTAAACGTCACAATTCAAAAATCAAGTACTAAGTTATATTATTCACAAATCAGGTATTATATATAATTAATTCACCCAATTCAATAAAAATCCTAATCATTTCCCCCATTCCCATCTTACTCTATTCTGCTCCCTTCTCTTTCCTCTCAACAGTAATCGTGTCGCTCGTGGAAGATTATCTCCGGCGAACAATTTTACCATTGGAGTTGAATCACCTGCACGGTAGCGTCACCATCGGAAGATTTCTTGGTGTAGTGTTGAGGGCAATTTCTATTTTCTATCTATATACCTTCATTTCTCTTCATCAAACATCGTCGTCCGAGGGTTGTGCAATGGCTCCACGGTCAAGACGCAACCACCACAGCGGCGTCACTCTGGAGTAGCTAGCGGCGCTACTGCAACCTCATTAACCATATTTGGTTTTGAATCCGAGGGTTGTGCAATGGGGTGGTAGTGCTGGCCACTGGGGTTGTGCTATTAGATGATAGTGTGGTCTGATGTGGTGGTGTTGACGGCATGGTGGCATTGCTAGTGTGCAATGGTTGGATGCGGCGTGATGGTGTCCACTACCGGTGTGTGGTTGGATGCGATTTTGGCAGGGGTATGTGTTGTGGGTGCGATGAGTTGTGAGCTATGCACTGCCGTGAATTTGATTTTGTGGTGATTATAGAGTAGTTTTGGTTGTGTTTTGGTGGTGATAGTGGTGCTTGCTTTGGCGGTAAGGTTGCGGTGGTAATTGTGGTGCCAATTTTGGGTTGCAGCGATGGTGGTAAGGTTGCGGTGGTGTGATGCAAGTGACGGTTGTATGGTGGTGATTTGTGACAAAGATTGTGCTGGATCGGGATCGGTGGTGGAGGAGTTTGGTGCATGTAACCAAATATTTGGACTAATTATTAATCTGTGACTTTAAAATTCGATAATCTGCGACTAAAAAAATAATTTGTGACTAATAAATTTGAAAATATATGACCTATAGATAAACCGTGACCTGTAATTTGAATGATTTGTGACCTACAAAATTTTTTATTTGTGACCACGAAATAATCTGTGACCAATTAATTTGATAATATGTAACCAGCAAATAAATATGTACCTATAATTATAAAATTGTGATCATTAATCGTATAACTGTGACTTTATTACATTTATTTAATAAATATTTTTAATTAATGAAATATATTCCTAAATTTTAAATTTTCAAACTATCTACCTGATTTTTGAATTGGTGTAAATAATACGCCTGGATTATGAATTTTTCCCTTTATAGAATGGCTTATGTTTAGTGGGCTAATAGGTTAGGATTATACGAGTTGTAGGAATTAATAATAGGATTTGTGGGTTGACGAGTAAGTTGTTGATGGATATTTGGATTGGCTGTTGGGTTTTTTTTGTTGAGGATTAGGGTTTTTGAAGGACAACAATAACATGACACAGCAGCACTGGTAATCTGAATTGAATTTATTTTTATTTTTATTTTTTGAATTTCTATTTTCCCTTTTTTGAGGGAACAATCTGCAAAATGTTAAAGAAAGCAGAAAATACACTTTCGACACTTTTTTTTGGGAACTAAA